TTGTTATTTATGTTTTTCTATAATGGGCCTTATTCTGGGCCCATCCTGTCTATATTAAGTTCTTTGTAAATTCTTGCCCAACTAAGGGCCTCCTTGTAATTATTCAAACCTATTTTAATAAAATAGTGTTAGGGTGCTGAGAGAGGTTGGGTTCGAAACTCTCATTCTCAGACCCTCATTGCCGAACTCTCAAGCTCTCCTCTCTTCAGTTTTCTTCACAGCCCTTTATCGAGTCTTCAATCAGGTCAACTGTAGGATGATGAAACCTACTGTGAAGCTGGCAGCGAACCCAGGAAGAAGACAGCCACAAGAAAACATGAGACCTTATTGCTCTGGTACCATGTGAATAAACCCTAGTTGATTCTAGGTCAAAGTGGAGAAGAAGAAAGAAGAAAGAAAAGAGAAATAAGAAGAAGGAGAGAAGAAGAGTGTTCGGCCAGACTAGAAGAGAGAATGTGAAAAATCACTCTCCTAGCTGACCCACTTGAATTTTATTCATAAAACTTAGAGTTACAAGAAAGACAATTCTGTCCCTCATAGAAGATGGGATACATAGCTTAAACTCAGATACAATAGACCTTTCACTCTCAAGAAGATACACCAGAATGACCAAAATACCCCTGACTCGAGCATTCTAACATTATATATATATATATATATATTTGATGTTCAGTTTCTGTCATATTACTCCGAAGAATTAGTCTATTTAACTCTTTTATGTACTCCTTTACACTCTTTTTTCATTGCCTTAAATTCTGCACCTTTTGGTAAAGAGTTTTCTCATAATCCAGTGGTAAGAATTGTAAAGCTTGCACTATTTGGTCTTTCCATCACTGGTTGTTATTCCTTTCTTGCTGATCACCATCTGATTGCTCAATGTCTTTTTCACTTGATTTCACTAAGAATGTTAGTGAGCTGTTCATAAATTCTAGGAGCTTGTCTTCTTCATTCCAACTCCAAATCACTTGCTATGTCACCATCCCTAGCATCATTTTGAGCTACAAGAACTTTCTCACCACTTGATGTGGATGGAAAAACAACTTATATGCAAAACTTTAAGTGTACAACAATAATTACAACAATACTAAGCTGAAAATAAGAAAACAAGTTGGATCCTTAGGGATTTTAGGCCAAGGTTTAGCATGTCGGTGTCGGTGGAAACGTCAATTGTCCAAATATAAGAAACATGCCAGAAATGTCGAAAATGTCAATGTTAGGTTGCTTCTTTGCAACTTGGGGGATAAAGGTTCAAATCTTGGAAACAACCTCTCTGTATGTGTAGGGGTAAGGCTGCATACATCTGTCCCTCCCCAGATCCCTCATTGGCGGGTGCCTTGTGCATTGGGCTGGCCTTTTTTTCTTGTACTACACATAGTACTGGTAGTGTTCACAGGGAAATGTGTTGATTCCAATAAAATTTCATGTTGCTACCCATGGAAGTAGAAATGAAAATATGTTGTGGAAACTATCTCTTGTACTCCACATAATGTTGTCGATTCTAGTAAAATTTTGTGTCACTACCCATGGAAATGGAAATATGTTGTGAAAATATTAGAGACCTTAGGGACATTTCAAACCATGTTTTAGACCTGAATCTGAAGTAGAACTCCTCTTGGAACAGTTCCGTGACAGTAACAATGGTGTTAATCTGGCCTCTTGCATAGACACACAATGATAAAGGGATTGAAAGGCACCAAAATGGGTTGACTCCTCAAAACCCAAGCTCCAAATGCTTCAAAACCCTAGCTGGAGCTGAGCTACAACTTAAGAAGGAGAGAAAAAAAAACCAAAAGACCACTTCAGAAATATTTACACATAAACCCCTAGAATGGCTTGCTGGAGAAGCCAACTAAAATATTTACACATAAGCCCCTAGAATGTTCTCCCTTCACTAACAATTTCTCAAGAACAAAACTAACTTCAAACAAACTCCCAAAAGATAACTTCTACTACAAAAACACTCAAGAGACCAAAACCCAACAGATGCACACCCAAACCCAGCTCCCCTTGACCAGAATATGGCTTATAAAATGATGAAAATACCCTAGGTTCCAAATTGACTACAAAGCTTCCCATGACAACTATTTGGAGATCCTACTACAAAAATGAACTCAAACATATTTACATCTCTTTTTTCTTTATTCTTTTATTCTTTTTCTTTTTTGGGCTCATCACGTAATCTAGCATAGAAAGCAATGCTTCCCTATTATGTATATTACTATGTATCAATTGAGAATCAGTAGATAGAGTAGCTTAGCATTGTTGCAACAATAACTGAATCAAGAAATCTGTTAATTTTCCTCTTAATGCTATTAAATATGTTTCCTCTGCTAACCAAAATGAACTTTATGTGTTCTCTATGTTATTTTTCCTTCTTTCAGATGGCACATGAATTGTATGGTGTGTTATCTGGTGGTTTAAGCATTACAGAGGAAAATAAAATCCCAGCATATGGAAGAGGAGCTGAGTCTTTCCTTGAGAAAGTAGTTACCCCAATATACAGGGTTATATTTGAGGTGCTTTATCTCCTGACTATTGTATCTTCTTGCATAAATATTTCTATTTAGATTCTAAGTCTGGTTTTTGAAAACTGAAGGAGGCAACTAAGGAAGAAAGTGGATTGGGTGATCATTCTAAATGGAGAAACTATGATGATTTGAACGAGTTTTTCTGGTCGGCATCTTCTTTCTGCTTATGTTACCTTTTCTATTTCTTTACACTGCAATGCTACTTTCCTTAAAAAAGCTGGGAATTTGGGAGAATCATTGCTGATTAACTCTTGCAGGTCTCTTGATTGCTTCCAGCTTGGTTGGCCCCTCTATCTGGATCATGATTTCTTCCGCACACAGCCTTTCGGAGATGGTCATGTTACAAATGCTTCACTTACAGATACAGAAGAAAATATGAAGAAAGAAGAAAAGGAAGAAGTAAAGATAGTAAGTTGTCTTTTTACACTTACCATAGACAGTAGATTTATTGGATTCCTTCCAGCTTAGTTGGCCCCTCTGTCTGGATCATGATTTCTTCCGCACACAGCTTTTTGGAGATGGTCATGATACAAATGCTTCACTTACAGCTACAGAAGAAAACAGGAAGAAAGAAGAAAAGGAAGAAGTAAAAATAGTAAGTTGTCTTGTTACACTTACCCTAGACAGTAGATTTATTGGATTCTAGTAAAAATCTTCAGAGAAAAAGTTGAAATTACATAATACCTTTCATGCTCAATTTGCTCAAAATGGTAGGGAGCTTATATGAGTTATACTTTTTATTAAAACCTTACTAAACTTTCAAATAAACTCCCTAAAATATCCTAGGATATCCATACGTTTTAAGACCAAAATCTACTAATTTTATTTCCTATAATACCATGGTTCCACATTCCACTATAACTCACATGTGGGTTAACCAAATGAAGTGGGATTTAAACCATAAATACTATGTTTTTGGGTGATTCAGGTTATGGGGTCCATGTGGGAAAGCTTTGACTTTGGCCATTGACCAATGTTTACAATCTACACATTCTAGAAACTGTATTTTGGATTGATGAAGGCCTTCCTCTGGACTAATCTTCATGAAATTTTTATGGATGCTTCTATAAGAACTCTATCATTCCAAAAATTCATTTTAATCCAACAGCTGCACGAGAGGAATTAATCCTGCAAATTCTGTCCAGAGTTTGGACTATTATGCATAACTGTTTTCTCTTGCATTATCTTTTTCGATTTAGAAAATGCTTGCTGAAATCTGTTTTTCCACTTTGACAGTAGTTTTAAGGAATAAAGAACACTCCTAATAAGGGGCTGCATTGAGCTAAGCAGTCCTGACATAATGGTGTAGTTTTCTGTACCCACTTTTCATAAGAAGGATAAGAAGAATCAGGTGCTTTCGTCTTTCTTTGTTCATTTCTTAGGGAACAGGTGATATATCATTCTGGATTTAAAGACACACACAGGGAAAATTTAGGGGTTAATTCATGGTTACTGTTTATGGTGGGTAGGATTGTTAATCTCAGTCTTTATAGTGTCTTTCTTTGAAGTTGAAAGTGCATGCATGGTGAAATCTCATTATGAGCCGATTGTAACATTTACATTTTTATTTAATGAATTTCCTCTTTATTTACCATAAAACATTTACATGGTAAAATCTCTGTAGTGTCTGAAGGCAATCATGCAGTCCAAGCAAAGAAGAAGATAGTGAGAAAACTGAGAGCTGGGAGCCAAAAGTTAGTGTAGGTGGCTGCTCCACACATTATTATATCAGGGCAACCATAAGAGAGGGTAAAAGGACATATTTATCACTGATTACAAAAGAAGCATGTAAACAGTACAGACAAACATCATAGACAACACTCCCCCTCAATTTGGGTTATAGATGTCAATTATTCCCAACTTGTTACAAAGCTCACTATGATGAGGAATAGCTAAACCCTTATTAAGTACATTGGCTAGTTGATTTGCAGAGTTACAAAAGGAATGCATATTTCACCCATTTCTATCTTCTCTATAATAAAATGCTTATCCAGTTTGATGTGCTTGGTTCTGTCATAGAGGACCAGATTATGAGCAATGTTGATGGCTGCCTTGTTGTCACAGTAGAGGGACATGGGTTTAATAGCAGGAAAGACTAACTATTGGAGCATATTCTTCACCATAACAACTCAGAAACTCCATGTGCCTTGGCACAATATTCAGCCTCTGCACTTGACTGAGCAACTACTGTTTGCTTCTTACCCCTCCATGTAACAAGATTACCACCAATAAATGCACAGTAACTTGAGGTGGACCTTCTATCATTAGTAGAGCTGGCCCAATTGGCATTAGTATAAGCTTCAACTCTTAGATGCCCATTGTTCGCAAACAAGATACCTCTCTCCGGATGCTTCTTTAAGTACTTGAGGACCCTTAGATTTGTACTGCAACGAATGTAGCCTGAATGTTTTTCAAAGTCACACAAATGTAGATTGAAATGATACCCAATTCATTAACACTGGTTCAACACTTTAGTTGTTCGAAACATCAAGGGAAAAGGAGAAACTGTTGGGGTGGAAAATATAGAGATAAACAAGAGGTTGTGTCATCATATAACATGAGACTTGATTCCAATGAGTCTAAGTAGTCCCATGGATCAAAATCTTCTGATCTCATCGATTGAAAAACCTTCTTATGGTCATATGCATTAGAAAAGTCCAATATGACTTTTTTATGATTATTTTACCATAAAATTATAAAACCAATAAAGTTCCTTAAATCCAATTTGAGTTCACCATCAGAAAATCTTGAAGTCCTTAAAATATTAGAATAGAGGTTTTTCTCAAGAACTGCAAGTTACTAGAAAACCTGTTAATGACAACAGATTTCTAGTGTCACAAAACTTGGCAAAGCATGTAGGAAATTTGGGAAGATATTGGGTCAACTGAACTATTCACTTTGTATTTATGGCATTACAAATAAAAACCGAATGCCACTCTTACAAGTTTATAACTTAATATTACCACACCTTTTTGGTACTTTCACAAGTATTATGAGAAAGTATTTTAAGCTAGGACTTTGTTAAGAAGGGACATTGCACACGTAAAGTTTGTGTTCCTTTGTGTGTGTGTGTGTGTGTGTGTGTGTGTTGGAGAGGAGCATAGCTTTATTTTTTTGGTGTGTTTAAGAAGAGTAAGTTATTCTTTTGAATAATTTTTTTGGACCTACTGATTAGTTACTTAATGCGCAATTGGCAAGATTAAGCCCTAGATCTTTTCTAAAGTTTCCCAATATGTTTCTCATTGTTATTGTATTTGCTTTAAACTAATGTCTTCTTCTCATGCTGATTTCAGACTAGTCCAAAGGAAGATCACAAAAAACAATGGCTAGGGAAAACAAATTTTGTGGAGATTCGTTCATTTTGGCACCTTTTTAGGAGTTTCGATAGGATGTGGACATTTTTTATTTTAGCTCTTCAGGTACAAGTTATGTAGTGTGAAAGGGGTGAGTCTGCTCTTTCTTATGGATTTTCTATATTGCTGAATTCTTTCTGTTGGTACCTAGGCAATGATAATAATGGCATGGCATGGCCTGGAATCCCCATTTCAATTTTATGATGCAGAAGTACTTGAAGATATCATGAGCATCTTCATAACTTCCGCAATTCTTAATCTCGTCAAAGGTATTATTCTTGTTGTTCAATAGTTGTTTGAAGTCATCTCAAAAGGCTAAACAATCAGGATAGTGATGCTTAGATGAATGCCATCGGTATGCTATTTCCATTGATGGAACCATTTATTAATTTTTCTGTATTTAAGCTACTCCTAGGTTCCTTTGAATAACTTAATTTCTGACCCTATCCTTTCTAGTTTTTCCACTCATCCATCTCAGCATATACTTTTTGCCACAACTGTAGTAGGTGATAAAATGAGGGAAAAGTAGACTAAGATGGTTTGGTCACATGCATAGGATACAATCTACAAAGGCCATAAGAAGTGCTGTTGTAAGTTGAAAGGGCTAGAAGGTCTAGCGGCAGATAAAAAAGAACATGGGTTGAAGTAGTAAGAAATGATTTAAGCACTCATAATTTAACAATGGATATGGTACTGAACAGAACGGAATCGCAAAACAGGATTTATGTAACCAACCACATTTAGTTGGGACAAGGCTTAAATGATGTTGTAATTATAGATTAAGAATTGTTTTTGATTGGAAACTTTTCTGGTCCTTAAAATATAATCTACCAGATTTATTGCTTTCAATCATTATAACATGAATGGGACCTTTGTATCCATTTGGAGTGATTCCATGGCAGACGCATTAAGTAATCTTGTTTAAGAGAGAAGTTGTCTATAGGGATCAAATATATTGGGGATATTTGTAATTTGACCAGTTGCATTTAGAAAAAGGAGCAGGATAGATTGGCATTGCTATTCTATTTCTCTCATAATTAATAAAAACTAACATTGTTACCAAGAAAAGAAGAGGCAAGTTGTATATGATGTAATAAGCTTGGTAAGTTTAGGATTCATATTTGTTATCTGTCATTGATGTCGAGAAGGCAAGAGGAAGGAGAGAGAGGAGTGAAACATCGGTGATCCAAAAGTGTGTCATGGTGCCTGCACCAATGTTTTATTAAGATTATTGTTTAAAACATTGTAAAATGACCGAAAAGCCTTAGCCACAAAATACAAGGGTTATAGAATTATAACATTCCCCCTCAAGTTGGGTGATACCAATCATCTTCAACTTGTTATGTAGTTCATTATGACACATTACGCTCTTAGTAAATATATTAACTACTTGCTCCTTAGAGCTTACAAATATAAGGAAGATTTCATCCCTTTCAATCTTCTCATGAATGAAAATGCTTGTCAACTTCTCTATGTTTAGTCCTATCATGTTGAACTGGGTTGTGTGAAATTTTGATGGCTGCCTTGTTCACAATTAAGAGAAATTTAACCTAAAGCTGGAAACCCCAGCTCTACCAGTAAGTTTTTTAACTATATTACTTTACCAATTTCATGTGCCATGGCTTGACATTCTGCCTCAACACTTTCTCTTGCCACTACATTTTGTTTCTGGTTTCTGTCGGTCTTTAGATTTCCACCTATAAAGGTGCAATAATCCATAGTAGATCTCTAATCATCAATGGATCCTACAAAGGTGCAATGACCCCTTTTCACAGTGAGGGCATAACACTGTCTGGATGCTCATTCCTTTGCTTTGTGGCTTGTCCCTTGTCAAACATTTTCCTAATGTTGCTGAAAATGCCAATGGTTAGGACCGTATCCAGTCCACCCCATCCCAAGACACCATAGTTGGCACCAGCATTGGTTGATGGCTTTTTTTTTGCTGTCCATACCATAAATGCTACTTTTTGTAGGTACAGTGCTGTTCCATATCTCCTTTGATGGGAATTGACCTATATCTGATTGTTGCGTCTGGTTGAAGGAGGATTTTACTATTTAAGCTTAATGTGTCCTTGAAGCATTTTTTTCCTTGTGTTCACAGCTATCTCTTATCTCTCTTATTATGTATGCATTATAATAACAAAAAAACTAATTTACCCTAATAATTAGGTATATTGTCGTTAGTTTCTTTATCCAAACCATTTTCTATTCTTGGTAGACTGTAACAACTGTTTTACAAGCTAAAGCAAGGTTTACACTTGCAGCCATTCTTGATATTGTCTTTATGTGGAAAGCAAGGCACTTAATGGACTTCTCTCAGATCCTGAGATATATACTGAAGCTTGTTGTATCAGTGACATGGATCATCATTCTTCCTGTTTATTATGCCGACTCTAGAAGACACTCTACTTGCCATGCCAAACAATATGGGAGTTGGGTTGGAGAATGGTGTGTTTCTTCCTATATGGTGGCAATTGCATTTTATTTGGTGACCAATGCAGTAGGGCTGGTGTTGTTTCTAGTTCCTGCAGTTGGCAGATACATTGAGACCTCAAATCTGTGGGTGTTCACTGTTTTGTCTTGGTGGTCACAGGTATTGCTCAATGTTATTCTGGGATATATTAAGGATTATTAGTTGAATGCACTGTTCTGCTAGTAAATTCATGTATCCTACCAGATTTTTCTTGATTAACAACAATTAAAATTTTATTGATGCACATACAGTCCTGTATATTGCTAAGTGCTAGCTGCTAAGCACTCCTTTAAAAAAGTTGACTATATTTTATTAAGTTGTGTATAATTAAAAATATTTCATAAAGGAAAGTAAAAAGAAAAAGTCATCTATAATGATAAACTTGAAAAAAATAACGGGTTTAAAGAGAAAAATGAATCATATCAAAACAAATCATTTGCATGATATCTATGTACATTTAGATTCAAAGGCTTACATTTATATGAGTATGTAACTATTTCATGTTGTTACCCATAGAAATGAAAATATTTTGTCTAAATATTTAAACATTTTGTCTAAAGAGGTCCGCTACATTAAAAATGGGTGAAATGGACAAATCAGTTGGTAGCTCAATTTCATATGCATTGTCACCAAACCATCTTAGCACTTGACATGGACCAATCTTTTTCTGCTTCAACTTATGGTAGGTCCCAACTGGAAACCTCTCAGGCCGCAAATAAACCATGACTAAATCGTCTTCATGAAACTCTTTCATTCGACGATGCTTATCCTTAGCTTCTTTATACCTTAGATTGCTTTCTTTCAGCTTCTGTCGTATATTCTCTTGAATCTCTCAAATGGATTCAGCTAAAGCTTCGGCATCATCACCACTCGCCGCAACCTTGTTATAGGAGCTAGATCAACAACACTTTTTGGTGACTGACCGTACAAAACCTCAAAAGGAATCTTCCCTGTAAATCTATTAACTGAATCATTGAAGGAAAATTCAGCTTGTGGTAGGATGGGATCCCATTGCTTTAAGTAGTCTCCAACTAGGCTCCTCAACAAGTTGCCTAGGCTTCAGTTAACCACTTCAGTTTGTCCATCTATTTGTGGGTGAAATGTACTGCTATATTGTAGGGTAGTACCCATACACTTCTATAAAGTTCTCCAAAAGTGGCTAAGGAATCTTGTGTCATGATCTGATGTGATAGATCTTGGCAATCCATGCAACCGAACAACTTCTTTGAAAAACAAGTTAGCTACATGAGAAGCATCAGAAGTCTTTTGGCAACCAATAAAGTGGGTCATTTTGGAAAAACGATCAACCATAACAAAAATAGAATCATTACCCCTAGCTGTTCTTGGCAACCCCAACACAAAATCCATAGTAATATCAATTTGCAGTGCTTCTGGTATGGGTAAGGGAAGATACAAACTTGTATTTTGATGCTGCCCCTTAGATGTTTGGCACTCGTGACATCTATCAACATAATAGAACACATCCTTTTGTAGCCTTGGCCAAAAGTACCTTTTGGAGACCATTTCAAGTGTCTTCTTGCGTCCAAAATGTCCCTTGCAATGCAAATCAGCAATCAGTAATGGCCTCAAGGATCCTGATGGAATACATAACCTATTGCCCATGAATAGGTAACCATCATTCCACACAAACTTGGCTTGAATATCCTTGTAGCTTCTACAAATAGGGCCAAAATAAGGGTCATCTTGGTATTGGTCTTTGATGGAGCTGAATCCCACAACATTAGTAGACATTGTTGAAACCAAGTTGTTAAGTTGACTGTTTTTATGTATTGCTGGTTCGGCTGATAAGTGTACATGTTAGTTTGTATTGGGTTTTAAGCTGTTAGGTACTGGGCCTTTGTTATTGGGCCTAAGTCTGTTTAGTGTTTTAAGCAGTCTGGGTGTCCCATCACTAATCAGGGGCATTCCAGACATTTCATGTAACACTGTATTGTAATCTACTATAAATAATAGTACTGTCGACTGGGTTACTCAGTTCGACATTCTCAGCACTTNTAAATAATAGTACTGTCGACTGGGTTACTCAGTTCGACATTCTCAGCACTTGTTTGCCTTCACCTCTCTTCTACTACTTCAGCTACAATCTTTCAGCAAACATGGTATCAGAGCATTGAGTGATCTTCTGGTTACAGCCGACACCAACTCTTCTCTCTTGCTTGCTTTCTCCTTTTTTTTCTTCTTGGTTTCTGCAGAAAAACCCTAGGGTTGCCGTAGAACAGAACAGGGTTCGAACCTATGGTTTCTCTTGGTTGTAGGACACAAGGGAGGTAAAACCCAGAAGTTGATGCCCTACTGGGCTGCTTCTAGTAGTTAGTAGCCATTTGGCTGCTAAGAGAGGTCTGTATAGGACAGACCTAGGTTGAGGTGAGCACTCTCTACAGTTGCAGAAGTCGAAGCCCAAGTGAAGTCTGCATAGTGCAGTGGTGGAGAGCTCTCAGTTTCAATTGCAGAAGTCGAAGCCCAAGTGAAGTCTGCATAGTGCAGTGTGGAGAGCTCTCAGTTTCAGGTCGGTTACTTGCTCACAGAATTCTTCTTGGTGCTGTAACTAGTCCACTTCAGGACTGTGACCACTTCGGCTAGTCTGARAYAGTGTTATYTACACAAAGTCTRCATCCAAGATGTCTTCAATATCCGGAGAGGTCTCTTCTAGGGATAACAGACCTGGTGGGAGGTCTTCAAATCTGGAGAACCTGAATCTGCACAGCTTGCAGATTACAAGTGTGTTGCTGGATGRATACAACTTYAGGGAGTGSTYYGTTTCTGCAATGCTTTTTATTACTTCCCGTGAACTCACAGGTTATTTAGATGGGAAGAAGAAGGAACCCGAAGTTGGCAGTGTGGAGTATGCAGTGTGGTGCAAGGAGAATGCCACCGTTATGTCCTGGCTGCTTGCTTCTATGACTCCTTGAGTTGCCAGGACTGTTCAACACTTTCCCACAGCAGGTAAGATTTAGGAAAATTTCAACTCTTGCATAATGGCATAAAACTCAACATCATAAGTGGAATACCTCTTTCTAGCATCATTGAGTTTCTCACTAAAGTAATCAACTGGATGGCCTTCTTGTCTAAGGACAGCTCCAATCCCACCATGGGATGCATCACATTCAACTTCAAAGAGCTTGTTAAAATCAGGTAAATCCAATATCCAGCCTTCATTATCCTTATCTTTAGCTCTTGGAAGCTTTTCTCAGCTGTGTGAGTCCAAGTAAACTCACCTCCTTTCAAGCATTCAGTAATGGGTGCCACAATAGTGCTGAAATTCTTTATAAACCGACGATAAAAAGTTGCTAGCCCATGGAAACTACGAATTTCAGTCACGGTCTTTGGTGTTGGCCACTCTTGAATAGCTTGTACTTTTTCTTGATCCACCTCAATGCCCTTGGCTGAAACAACATACCCCAAAAACACCAACCGATCTGTCATAAAATTACACTTATTCAAATTTACATATAGTTGATTTTGTCTCAAGACTTCTAGGATATCTCTCAAGTGTCCTAAGTGGCTGCCATGGTCTTTTCTGTAGATGAGTATGTCATCAAAATAAACTACCACAAACTTCCCCATGAACGACCTTAAAACTTGGCTCATGAACCTCATAAAGGTGCTAGGAGCATTAGACAACCCAAATGGCATAACCAGCCATTCATAAAGACCTTCCTTAGTCTTGAATGTAGTCTTCCACTCATCCCCCTCCCGGATACGAATTTGATGGTATCCACTCTTCAGATCTATCTTTGAAAAAACTTGTGAACCAGCCAATGTGTCTAACATGTCATCAAGGCGGGGTATGAAAAACCTGTATTTAACTATAATTTTGTTAATGGCACGACTGTCAACACACATACTCCAACTACCATCTTTCTTTGGTGTGAGCAAAGCTGGTACAGCACATGGGCTTAAGCTCTCACGGATCATCCCCTTCTTCAACAACTCCGTTACTTGTCGTTGGAGCTCCTCATGCTCCTTAGGGCTCATTCTATAGTGGGGTAGGTTAGGCAATGCTGCTCCCGGCATTAAATCTATATGATGTTGTACATCTCTTAGGGGAGGAAGGCCATCGGGTAGTTCTTTAGGCATCACATCAGCATACTCATGAAGTAGCTTCTTCACCAACTCTGGAACAGGTGTTTCTTTGCTAACTTCTTTTGAAACCAACACGTAAACATGCAAATTTCCATCTTCTTGAGCCAATTTATTTGAGGTGAAGAGAGTAGTGGTTGGTTTTGTTTCCTTCTTTGGAAATGAATCAAGTTGCATTGGTTTAAGAGTTATCTTCTTATTGTCTTTAACAAAGCTATATGTGTTCTTGTCCCCATAATGAATGGTCTTACGATCATATTGCCATAGGCGACCCAAGAGAATATGGCATGCATCCATTGGGACAACATCACACCATACCGATTCTTCAAATGTATTACCAATAGAAAAATTAACTAGGCATTTAGAAGAAACTCTTACTTCATTTCCTTTGTTGAACCACAAAATACGATATGGTCGGGGGTGTTGAACAATCTTGAGCTGTAATTTATCCACCATCTCTTGAGAAACAAGATTCTCACTACTCCCACTGTCAATAATCAGGTTACACAACTTCCCACCAGCTCTACAATGTGTTCTAAAGATATTCTTTCTCAACCAGTCCCCTGGTAGTGGTTCTTGAGGTGCAACCATAGAGTGTCGTATCACTAGAGCTTTACCCTCAATATCCCCATCCAAGTTTTCTTCCTCTAAAGCATTAGCTTTAGTAGTTTCAGCCACTTGCTCATCCTCAACATGGCATATATCACCTTATTGTTCATCAGTGACTTCATCAACCGAATGTGTTTGCCCTTCAATCCTTCTCTTAAGACATTCATTTGAACGATGCCCCGACTCCATACACCTGAAACATCTAAAGTAGGCTGCCCTTGACTGCTCTTTGTTGCATTTGAAGTCCCTTGGACTGTAGGTCGTGTTTGGTTGATCACACGACCCCTACCCCCCAACACTTCGACCTACTGATGAAGATGTACCTTGGACAACACTTAGCCTCCGCCCTGAGCTCTGACTTAGTTGAGCTTTAACCTTTAGAGCTAGCTGATATGCATCCTTTACCTTAT